CTATGAAAGACAATACAAGGATAAATATATTTCTACATACATGTTCACGTTTTTACCAAAATAATATTTAATTTTAATATAAATGTTAATTATAATTTTCAAATGTATTGCAAGTATATTTAAAAATATGTAATATTATACAGGGTGTCTGATGCAAAAGTAGCCAACTTGAAAATAGTGGTAGATTGGGTTAATCTAAGGAGAAATATCATGTGCCGCGGTACAAAAGTAACAATAGTTTTCGAGTAATTAATTTACACATCTGAGCGAATGAGGATGCAGAATACGGTAGGCCGGACTCGGAAGGCATTTAAGAAAATCGATCGATGAGCGGGAGGTGGAGCGACGCGCGAGATACTATGTTTATGTTTCGGGTCGCCCGCGCCGCGCTCCCCGCCTCGCCTAGGTTTTTTCCCACCACGGTGTATCTCGTGCGTCGCTCCACCTCCCGCTCATCGATCGATTTTCTTAAATGCCTTCCGAGTCCGACCTACCGTCTCCTGCATCTTCATTCGCTCAAACGTGTAAATTAATTACTCGATAACCATTGTTACTTTTGTACAGCGGCACATGACATTTCTCCTTAGTTTAACTCAATCTATCACTATTTTCAAGTTGGCTACTATTGCATCAGACACCCTGTATATTTCAAATAAATGAAATAAAGGGCTCAGAGCCAGAACAGGATAGTAGTGTTCAAAAAACATTTAATTATAAATGGATATAGACGTTTCGGTCCTTATTGGACCATCTTCAGTATAATAAAAAAAGAGCACAATTTAGAACATTATTAAGCTAGGAATACAAATTAAAATTTAAAACAACATATACGCAGTCGGTTTGATAAGATTATAATAAATATAAAGACAGAACATATTAAAAGATAGCGCAGTCAACCTAGATAGCTGAATTCACAAAGTATTCTTTGTATTTACACTGAATTCACAAAGTATTCTTTAAGTTTTCTTTTTCTGAATTGTAATTCTTTAGGAATTCATAGAAGAATACAATAAGAGTGACAGAGGAAGTTACATGCACCATAAATCGTTTTCCTGACAACTTCTTAAAGTATTCATCTCGAATTCAATAAATGTAAACTTTATGAATTCAAGGGGAATAGTGTTAGAACAAAACTTATTTACCCAATGTATGTACACATCTAATATGCAGTAACATTGTACCATTATTATAATTTCTCACTCAACAGTGAGATACTCTCAACCGAAGCTCGTTGACAATCGGATGATTCTTCCGTTTCGGTTCTCGTCGTTCGATTCTTTCTTTTACACAATAGAACTATTGCACAAAATTAATTGCACATAACGTTACGCGCACAAAATATTGCACGTGGTAAAACGCTGCACAAGAACGTCCGGATGGCGGTTAGCGGATACTCGCGCATGACAAATATGAGGGGCAGTCAAATGAAAACCGAACACCCGCCATAACACACAGTCCGCGCGAAAGATAGCAACACTGTTGTTACGTTTCGATACTGCCATCCATGGATGGATGGATAAGGCCATCAATCCGCCCTATCACATCAGGGGTAATGGGCTGGCTCGATGAGCCTGTCCCTTGGCCTGTCCTGGGCGCGCATCGTCTTGCAGTGATGTGCGCCCTTCTCGAAATCTCC